CTGAACCCCATCCCCCAACACACACAACGTATCTTCAGCCAGGAGGCTATCCAGTCCCATGTGAATACCTTCAATGACAGGAAACTCACTCTCAGAAGGTGGTATCATTCCAAAGCTGGAGACGAAAAAGCTCTTCCTCAGAGAGTCTTCCTCAAAAGGGAGTTTTCAAGGGGGCAGGAGAGGCTAAGTGTGCAAACTGGCTGGCTGGGTTTGAATCCTAACTCTGCCATTCATTTGCCCTATAGGGTTTCCAAGGAATGGCTGGTGGATTCAAACCCCCGACCTTTTGGTTAGCAGCTGAATGCTTAACCACTGCACTAGCAGGGCTCCTGCTACTCACTAGTTACGTGATGTCTATGCTTCAATTTCCTTACGTGCAATATGAGCATATTAATAGTACCTACCTCATAGGCTTGTCATGGGGATTAAATTAGGTGATACGTGTAATCCACTTAGAACTGTGCCTAACACAATATGGCTGCAATGTAACCATTAGTTATTATTTTTGTTGTTGCTGTTGATATTCTAAACCATGGAGATTCAAAATTATGCCTCACACCACCCCATTTCTCTGGGACTAACACTGGGCATCAACTGAGGGCCAGATCAGATCAGTTTTAGCACTTCCTTGTTACAAAGGATTACAGTTCCCACCTTACAGGTGAGGGAACCAAGGTTCAAAGAGGTAGGTTAAATTAACCTACCAGAGGTCACAAAGACACAGAGAGAGACACACAGACAGAGGGTGTGTGTGTGTCTGGTGGGGGGCTGGTTGGCTTCAAACAGAGCTTAGAACTGATTCAGTCCAGTTCCACCTCCTGCTGACAATCTGCATTTCCACCCCAGATATACTGAATCAGAATCTACATAAATCTTCTTAAAATGTAAATTCTGATTCAGTATACCTGGGGATGGAAATGCAAATTCTCGGCAGGGGGTCAAGACTGAACAAACCGATTTGAAGCCCTGGTTTCAAACTCAGGTCTGTGTGGTTCCAGAGTCCAGTTTCATGGTGAAAACTATTGCCAACAGCAGAGATCCAATAAGGAAACACGACTGACCATGACTATACTGAGTTTGTCAAGCTCAATTTTCTGCCTATGGCTCCCTGGTTAGCCTGCATAAATTGGAGTTAATATCAGGCTACTTGAACCCAATCAGGTAGTAAGTCAGTCTGGAAAACATCATTCGCTGTATTCCAAAGGTCAAAGTTAAACCTGGCTCTCTAGGCAGCCCTTGTCGGGCCCTACAGTGAGAGCTAGTATCCACGAAGACATCACAGTTCAACCGGTAAGGTTCTTAACTAACACTGATGTCGGCTTTTAAAAAGTCCCAGAGAGATGCCGGCATCAGAGGGCGCGACACGTTGCCTTGCCTGGCTCTGCAGTCAAAAGCCAGAGGAAGACGGTCGGCAGAAAGACATCATTTACTGTTACTAAGAACAAACCTTATTCTCTTACGGTTTAGGGCCGCATTTACTACAGTAGCTGACTTTCCTGGGCAAAAATAAACGGGGGGAGGGGGGTGCGGGCATAGGAACACCGAGGGGGCTCCGAAAGCTAGTCCTAGCACCCCCGGGGGCGCTGCAACACCCCCACCTGAAACACGGAGCGAGACCTACCTTCCCGGAGAGCCCATCCCGGAGGGCGTTTCCCCAGTGCAACGACTCGTCCTTCCCGGGTAAACCGCTGCTGTCCTTGGCTTCAATCAGAGTCGTGTGGGCGACCCCCTCCCAAAAAAGAAACCTGTTTAATTTCTCCCCTATCCTTTTATTTCCGCGAAAGAGCAACTAGAGTGATCCGTTCGTCTTAATTTAAGGCGTAGTTAAGACATCAAACTACATCTAAAACGCCCGCAGGAGGAAAGGCGAAAGACCGAGAGAAGAGGGGCGGGGGAAATAGGAAGCGCGATTGGCGGGGAACGTTTGCAGGCAGGACCGTCGCCCTCCCGGTGCAACCGCCGACGCGGCGCTCCGGCGAAGCCTCGGGTCGTAGGCGTGGGAAGGGAATCCCACTGGGGCCCCTGGAATGACTTAGGATGCCCTGAGCCGGCTCCCCCCGCTGCCTCCGTGCCCGGGGCCGTCGGGGCAATGGCGCAAGATTCCGCCCCCCCCCCCCAGCGACAACATCCACAGTGACAAAATGGCAGCCCGGCGCCCGGCAGTCATGCCACAGGCGCGCAAGGCCTTGGCGGCCGCCCCAATCCCCCAACAACGCCTCGTGCCCCTCGGACTCGGCCCCCGGCCGGTCTGTCCTCTAAAAAAAATAATAAATAAAACACCTAGAGCTCGGAACCACTCGGGAAGCTGCGAGGCGGGGCCGGGGACCGAGGCGGC